GTGATAGTATACTGAATAAAGAATATTCAGTATTTTGATATGTTAAGTCATTTAAAATTTGGAATTTTGGAATTTGTGAAACGTTGCCAACATATTGACAAATTGCTGACATTTCAGCTAGCTCAGGCTAACGCTACAGTACCAGAAACTTCTTCGCTGCTCTAAATACTAAATAATGTCAGTACAGAACAACTGCTGTTTTAGAGCGGTTAAGAAGAAGTGATTTCAGGGAAAAGAAAATTGCAGTTTTATCTGGGTGGAAATAATATTCTTAAAAGACCCAATGTTTTTTTGGCTGTGTCAGAGGCATTTCTAATGCTGTTATCATCATCAGAACATCTCTTGAAACTATTCCAGTTTATTCTGAGATTTAGCAGGTCTTGGCGGTGATAAGTGCAGGTTCAGTTATACCTGTGTTGATGAAGCCAAAAGACCTAGAGAAATCTAAAAAGGGTCGTTGTCCTCCCTGATTTAAAACCCTGTCAGGCAGGTTTTCCTCCCTTTCACATTTCTTTTTTTTTGGATGAGATTTGTAAAAGAACATTATGTATTTGAAATGGTCTAATCAGCTACACTTTGTCCTTGTGAAGATGCCGGTTCAGAAACATGAAAGGCAAATCAGGGAAGAAGGGGCGAGATTGGATCTTGGAGAAGAAGGAGAGGAGGAGGAGACAAGGACGGTACGTCAGCATGACTGTGCTTTAAACTCTAATGGGACAAATTCATTTGATTTATTAATTATGTTGTGCTCAATATTCATGTTCTGAATAATGCAATTTAAATTTAGTTTTAATTGAATCCCCTATGATTAGTTGTGTTTTGTGATGCTTGCTGACGCCTCTCCTCCCTGCTGCGTATTTGTCTCCTGCAGGGAAGTTCGAGCCGACACTAAATACACTGGACGTCAGAGAAGACCTCATTTCTAGCTGTGACTCATGCAGCTGGGCCCTCATTAGCTCCCGTCTGTGCCTCCCCACACACACACTCACCTCTGGAGCCACAGAGTGTTTGGACTCAAATAATTTCTCAACTCTTAAATTCAAGTGGATGGGAGAGAGTGAAATGCTATCATTTTTATATTTGGTCAAGTGTCTGGGAAATTGTTTCTCACACACATTGGTAAGACTGCTCTCTCTCCGTGTTCATGCTGGATGGAGAATATTAAGTACATGAACAGACGTGTGCTGCCGGCTGGTGACGCAAGAACAACACAGTCACAGAATTAAAACAATGTTCATAGATTATGAAATGTCATCCTCCATTTCTGGTAATCTGATTGTTTTATCTGTAATTCTTTCTCAATTAAAACTAAACAATTAAATATTTGTATTGATATTGCTGTGTTGTTTTTTACCAGAGTATAAAAGAATTCAAGCAACAAGGTTTCACACAATCCTATGATAGAAAACATACCCCTGCTTGCAACTTTATTGGGTACACCCCTTACAAATTCATGGAAATGAGTTCACTCGCTTTCTTAGTACACAGACAGACAAACAAATGACAATGAAAACACAATTCCAATAGGGTCCTTGTGCTGTCAGCGACTTGAGCCTTGAGGTGATTTAAATTGTTCAGACTAAAGGAAGTTGACTAAGTAACCATCAAACAGTGCGTATGGACCAATGCATATTAGTGTATTTGCAATTTAAAGATAGAATTACAGTTTTTGAAAATTGTATTCAACTTCAATTATAATACAAAGAAAAAAGGCAAGTCATGGTCAAATGATTCATCAAACAATATCAACAAAACAGTGATTGGTAAGGATAGGAAGATGCAGAGTTATAATACAATAGGTAGTTAATGCAATAGGATGCCTTAGTGGTCAATCTGGAATGAAAGTGCGTTGATACTCGCACTTCACAGTAAAAAGTTAGTTTTTTAAGTTTGCAACATCTTTTGTATAGTGTTGCTCAATCATGACAGAAAAATGTGGGTTTGTGTTTCATTGTATGTATTAATGTTGGAGTTGGGTTCTTTTGAGCAATACTAAAAAGGTTTACATGAAATCACAAGGTGAAAAAAAAGACGTTCTATGGTTTTAATAATGGTTTTGCCTTTTCTTGCACATTTCTGGATAACTTAGCTGTCCGCACAGTGTGTCCGACAGGGGGCGCTGTTTGCTTGGACACAACACAAAGCACCTGGGCGTTATATCAGCGTGAACGCGCTCAATCAACGAGCACATCCTCCTCAGCGCGTCCGCTCCTGCAGCCTCTGTCTCTGGGTCACTTCTCTGTTAAAGACCCTCCACCAGCCGCTTTGACGTCAACGGAACAAAACACCAAACTTACACAAACACTTTCTCCCTTCTTTATTTTTAATAAGCGTCCATCAGTGCGGTAGGAGGAGCAGGAGGAAGTTGCGCGTGTGTGATGGGTTAACGGCGGAAGGCCTCACCTGTCGTGCGCGTCACCCGCGGTACTGCCGTCATCCCAGAGGAGCAGCCGTCGCCACTCGCCGCCGCCAGACGCGCCTCCCCGGCTCGGTCACATTCTCCCGCCCCGCTACTCCACCACCACCACCACCACCCTCAGCCAGAGGAAGACCGGAGGAACAAGAGCGCAACACGGGGGAACCATGAAGGACCGCATGCAAGAACTTCGACACGTAAGTAGAAACACGCAGCTGCTCCGTGCACGCATGTTTTTCCATTGGTGTGTATTCAGGAAGCAGAGGTGCGCTGATGGAGCAACAGTTGTGACTCTCTGGGGGTTTTATCACCGGCAGCTGCTGCTGAGATTCACCGTGTGTGAGGAGCAGGAGCGAAACACGGCGATCCCACAGGTTTAATCCAAGTTAAATAAACCACCGACTGGATTTATGAGCTTACAGTTGGCTTTAGCTTTTCTCTATAGCACTTTTCCTTTAATGGTATTTTAGTTAAAGTATCACTCTATTTACATTAAACATATTTTCTGTAATTTTTCTAAATTTAAGACCCATCCAGAGAAAGTTAGATTGCAAATAGTGTGGAAATATGTCACCTGTGAATGAATTGGTGTGTGTGTGGTTGGATCGATCGAGGCTGAACTACGGATGTGTGATTGGAAATTGGATCCCAGCTCGCCCATTTAACCTTTAACGTGTCTTTATATATACAAAATATAATCATTACCCACACCAAACACAATGGTTTGTCCCTTTCCAACATCTGTGTTGTGCACGTGAAGAGATTCTGGTTCTGAAATAAATTAATCATGTTTTCCAATCCTACATTTTGAATATAAAAATAAAGACTTGGAATAATTGGATTTTAAGTGTGAACCTTGCGACAGTTGGAAGTATCACCAATATGCAGTATAACATACATATATTATGGGATAAAATGAGACCAAGACGATACATGACTGATTATATTAATGGGAGAGGAGATTGAATATTACCCTCTATAAGATAAGCTTGTGTGTGTGTCTGTGTGTGTGGTGTTAAAGTGGCCATTGTCAGAATTGGGTAATTGGCAGTTAAGCTGAGGACATAGAGGGGGAAACAATTTACAACTCCTCAGTTTTCTGGGAAGATCCTGCTATGAATTGGCCTCAAGGGGAACAACCCAGCCCTGCCAATTGTGTGTGTGTGTGTGTGTGTGTGTGTGTGTGTGTGTG